TTTTATGGTGTTGATCTGAGTTTGGGGTTTTTAATTTCTAAAATCTGTTGCTAAAAATAGATTTATTACACAGTGTAGTCAGTTTTGCAAGATGTCCAACTTGTCCCCTTCCTGCCTATTCTAAGGAAAAATGTCCTCATTCGTTTCGCATGAACATTTGGTTTCATGCTCTTTATTCAACTGAAGAGATAAGGACCATGAACTGACGCGTCTTCCACACGTGTTTGTCCACCTTTGTCAGTTAATTTTTTTCCCGATTCGTGTTTGTGTCTGTTAAGCAAATGTACCCCAGCTGTGTCCATTTGTACACTTTCCGTGCTCCACAGGGGAACTAGAGGGCCACGTTTTCAGCCTTTCTTCATATGAGCCACGCGATTCCTGTGCTGCTCCTACAAACGTTGAGTCTTCCACGGGCAGGGTCAGTGCAGAGTCTAGTCAAGCCCTGCAGGAACTAAGCCATCACTGAATCTGTTTTATCTGAGTATAGATGGTAGGAACAGTTGTATACTTGAGCATCCTCTGATCATATCTGTGTCTACCAAAAGTGTAGCTATCAATAGCAGAGTCAACATTTACAAAAGATACTTCAGTAAAAAACAAAGATGACTGTCATGGTGATATGAAAAAATGTCAGGACCAAACACTAGAAATCAAATTGTTACAGTGAATGTAATTATTGAAATGAAGACTTAGAAAAACAATGACTAATCTGAAGTGCCTTCCTGAGAAACCTCTAAGGAAGTTCAGAATGTCCTTGGTCTTGAAATAGTCAGACAAAATGTTTCATTTGGGACACAGAAATACTTAGGCGTTATCTGAAAATCACTTGTCTTACGCCTCTTGCGTAAGTTCATGAATTTTAAGTTCTCTTTTCAGGTTTCAGATGAAACCTACCTGCATCTGTTTATCTACATATTTGGGAATCTGAAAATAAAGGAAAATTTACATTGTAGAAGTTGACAGTGTCTATACCATATATCTAATAAAATATATGACATTATTTAGAAATCTACACCTACTCCAGGAAACACATTATTAATAACATGAAGTGCCTGACACCGACTGCTTACATTTCATTTTACAAGTTCCATGCTTCAATATCTTGCTTCAGTATCTTTTAAGAAAACAGAAGTGCTCCGTATCTCATCTGTGGGATGAGAGCAAAAACACCACTCTAACCTATTTTTGGATTCTGCTTTTTTTTCTGAGGGTGGGATTTGTTTTGATTTTTCTCCCTTTTCTTTGGTAATTACATGACTAGAAAATTACACTTGAGATACACACAGTCCCTTAGGAGTTTCTGACATCACTAGGGCTGCTGGTATAGGCATATTTTTGGCTTTGTGGTAAAGGAATATGCTCGGAGGATCCATCCTACAACTTTTAAAAGTAGGGCAAATTAGTTTCAGCAAGAGCAGACTTATTCTCAGAGCTTCACACAAGCTATTTGTAAGTTCTTCTTTTGGTAAGATACTTATCCATCATAATTTTATTGGCCATAAGGTAGATTCCCATCAGGGTCCAATCCAAGGCTGGTGAGGCCAATGTCAGGACTCAATGGTACATTTGATTAAGATAGGTAGCAGCAGTTAATTTTCTATTTTGTGGCTTTGGAGACGCAACAAAATACATCAGTAACTGGCTTGCAGACACAGCCATGATTTCCCCCAGCTGGTTGGAACCTGCGTGGTATGAGAAACCCTCATGGCTAACAGGTGATGGAGGCTCACCAGTACCATCCCAGTGCTCATACAGCAGAAAGACTGGAGCTCTAATGGGCACTGTCAGGAGCGTCCCAGTGTCTACGGGACAGGCATGCCTTGGCTCTGCATCAGGTCAGTGTGGAAGCATACAGCACAAAACCTCAGGGCCTTTGGGCTCAGCCACGATGTGCTCGTTTGCAGGTGAGTTTGGGCATGTCCCATGTTGGTGTCGCAACAGCAAGCGGAGCACAGTCATCAATATATAGTGGCAGCCGAAATGAAAGATTACGGTGCAAGGGATGATGTTTTCCCTCAGTTCTCTTGCTAACAGGCCAGCAAAAAAAATAAAGCTTTTGTGATTTATACTTGTGGAGTAATCTCCACAGTAATGTGAAATATGATAGTTCAAATGGGTAAGAACAATGACAGCTGTTACCATTTTTGACAGGCAATGGGTTTTGGAGCTTGGTGATGAATTGCATGCTGTCTGGGATTTGTTCAGCCCAGTTATCTTCAGGATGTCATTTTGTTTTTTGTTTTTTTCTTTAAAAGAAAAACATCTTTTAAGTCCTTTGGTTTGATGTTGGAGACTTAACAGTTTCTGTTTGGTAAAGAATTTTGCTTTCTTGTGATCTTTTCTTGGAAAATGGCTCTTGTGCAGATTCCTAAGAAAAAAATTTTGAATGTTTATCCTGCTTTGATAAGGTAGAATAATGTTCTCTCTTTTATCTTTAATTTTATTTTAATTGGACCTGCAACAAAGATACCTAATTATATGAGGAATTTTAGTTTTGACACATTTCAAGCTAAAATATCACTAAAACACATAAATATGTCTGAATTGCAGACTTGTAATTACATTTAGTGAAGGGTAAACTGTATTTTATGTCAGATAACACCAGACCAGACTGAGATACTAACGACATGGAATTATACCCCAATCCCTTGACCTATCTCTGTGAAATTGGTGGTGAAGGATTTCCAGAAGAAGGATGGAAATTCAATACAAGCGGGAAGTCTTGCAAAGGTCCACATGATTGTCAGAACTTTGGTTGTTCTTCTTCAGTAACAAATACTGTCAAGCCTCTGTTTAGGTCTCTCTTGGAATGAGTCAAAGTAAAAAACGGATGGGGTGAAGCAATAACCAGTGCATGGCGGGGAAAGCCCCTTTTGGCAGGAGGGCTCTGCTTACCCCGTTCCAACAGATGAGCTCAAGGGGAAAAAAAGCAACAACTACTTTTAACAAATAAGGTCCTATGACATGGCTGAAGGTGGAAAACTAAGTCCCAGACTGGTAGAAGACAGTGGGATTTTAGTTACGTTTACATAGCCCTCATTGCACCCTTAGTTTTGCAAACCCTTTTCTAGACCTAAACTGCTCCACTAGAACAAACGTGCTTCCTCCTCCCACCTTGGTCACAACACTGTGAAAATCAGCACAACAGGGTCTTGCTGGACTGAGTTTTACTCCCTTTAAACCAGTGACATTGCTTCTTAGCTACTCATTTCCATGGGAACTAGAGCCAAGCTTTAAGTCCTTACAATTTCCTCTGCTTCTAATTTCACTGGCGTCGAGTTCTGACCAGTTAATCAAATGTCTTTTGTGTTGCAGGTGCCTTAATGTTTATTTTGATTAGTGTACCAGTTGCTATTTTTAGCTCTTTGGTCTTTGGGTTGAATGAATACCAGCACAGACCTTAAACCATAATAAACATGTGTTTTTAACCTTGCCATTTATTTTTATGTCTCTGTATCCAAATAATCAGGATGTGGTTACCTGTGAAGGTAGTAGACTACTACTTCAAATTTCAATGCACACCCACATACAAAAATATACATTGTAGAGGGTTACAGCTTTAAAAACACCGAGACAGACCCTTGACTGACGTTAATGGCTGTTGCCATCAGACTGAGAGACAGTGGTACCACCTGGCTTACGGCTTTGTCCTTTGATTCCAGTGAACTTAATCTGCTTCACCCCTGCAGAATAACCAGCAGCTTTCTTCCTCGCTGCTGATCCCTCATGGACAATATAAAAAAATATATTTATATATAAAAAAAGAAGTAACAAAATAACAGAAGCACATGTGAAATGTATTGAAAAGGCCAAGCAAGAAACAGTGTTTCAAGAAACAACACTACAAATGCTGTATCTTTACTTTTTAAAACTGGACTCCAAACAATTTTGTGGCTTTTCTCTGTTGTAATGTGGCGAAAAAGTACAAAGCCAAATGTTTTTTGCCATGTGTTTTCTGCCTGATCTAGTGGGAAATTTTTTATGCAGAGGATAAAACAACTATCGTACATCATAGAAATTTATTATATTTATACATCCTTTCTATTTCTGCTTTTGCCAAGTGAAGAGTCAGCAAAGAATGGCAGAATCAGGCCTGAATTATACTCTGGGGCAGGGCCTGGAGACAGAGTAATCAGCAAATTAGCAAATACCTTTGGCACTCCAGGCCCCAGCCTAGTTCTTAGTAACATCAGCTGAAATATTCCCACCTGGGTGAGTCGGAGGTGTGTCAGGTTTCAAGAGCTGGATCCAATCTGGGGCTTAGATTTAGAACGCAGCCTAAAACTATGTCCAAAGACATGCCTGCAGGACGCAGCTTCCTGATGCTGAGCCTCCCAAAACTTGACCCTCCCTGCAATATTTAAAGCCCCCGTAGGCATCTGCAAGTCCTGCAGCTGTGGCATGTGGTCAGAACACCATCAGTCTGAGTGATGGATCCCGGTGCAAAATTTTCCCAGGAGTGGGAGCTTGATAACTTTATTCCAGGATCCTGAGAAGATCCTGGAACCTGTGGCTACCATTAACTCACGCTGAGGACTGGTGAAATGCAGCCTTGCTTTCAAAATGCTGCTGGGGAGGTATGTGATTTCCATGACAGCTTTAGGCACCTGTCCGGTACGTGGGGAGGTCAGGGTCAACCTGGGTGGCTGTGAGCCACAGTCTCCTTGCTTACAAGTGAGTGCCTAGTTCATGAGGTTTTAAGACAAGCTTGCGTTTGTTACGCCTGCCCCTGCTAGGGCTGGCCCATCGTGCAGAAAGGAATTAAAAGATTTGCAGGTCTGTAGAGGAGCAAAGAGGAGGGAGCTGATTCTGCAGCCAGAGAAGAAGGGCACTCGGCTCGCACTCTCTTTAATGCAATGACTCTGTGAGATAAAACATATTAACAGCTATGGGAACAGATTCTTGCTTTGCTTTCACTTCTTAAAGACCTTTGGAGGGAGATTCCTGCGGGAAGTTGGGATGCGCCCGTGAAGCCATTAACAGAGTGTTCTCCTTGGCAGATGCTGCAGTTCCAGCTTGTTGTGGTGCATTTGGCCCTTGTGATTGCGGTGCTGCAGTGGCACTCCAGCTCAGCGCTCCTCGTGCAGGCGGCACCACAGGTGGGTGGATGTTTCTGGTGGTTGTCACATAACCTGCTCTTCCTCCGCATGTTCTTGGTCACAGAGTGTGGAAGACATCACAGTCTCCAAACTGTGTTGGAAGGTGAACGGTCACTATTGACTCTGTGAGGGCAAAGCAGGAGCAGGACAACTTCCCCAGTGAAGAGAGTAACGCAAAGTGCGTGGCCCTGGGAGGACAGGCAGAATGAAGTCTCACTCAGATTCATGCAACCTCTTCTGAAGCACCGTGGGATTTTCTGTGTGTTAAAACATTGTCCGGTGACTTTGGATAGAGAACTTCCTGAAGGTGGGAAGGAGGTGATTGGGGCGCGGGAGGGAAGCAAACTCCTCTAACACTGAAGGGAAGATTTCATTCTTCTTCTTAAAGGCAAATAATAGCATGAGAAGTCTGCAACTTTCAGAAGCCATAAGGAGATCCCTGAAAGAAGACCACCTGCACAAAAGTTACAAATTAAAGGAGACAGGAGAGACAAGGAGAGGGTAGGAGCAAAGTAACTTGCCTAAGCTTGCGAAGGAAAGCAGCGGATGAAATGGGAGAACTGTCACACGTTTCACCCAACATGATACGCAGAGGTTGCACCTGAAAATACTTCTGCTGCATTCTCTTCTTTTATGCCATCTTGACATAAAACAGATCTGACAGGAAAGGTACCTGGACATTATGTGATAGCTTCATGCCGTACAAACATCAAGGATCTAAAAGTTTAATCAACGTAGCACTGTTTGGCTGTAGGGTCTTTACATAGGTTTTTAAGATCACCTTAGAAGTTAGATGCATCCTGGAGAATACTGACGGATCCTTCTACCTTGTTCTCTGTCTTCAAATGAGCATGCCCTGATTATAGAAAACAATCTTTGTTATAGCAAATAGGGCTTGGGGCAACCACTCCCCACATCAGTGCTGCAGCAGCTGCTCATCTGATGCCACAGGGACCTGGTATCCAGTCTCTATCAAAGACAGATTTTCGTGAAAAGAGTATAAGAACAGAACATCTTCAGAGGCTTCCTGATCCAGAGACTTGCACCGGACCAGGGCATGTTTTAGCTCCTAATGGGCCTGAATTTGTTTATGAAACCGTTTAAAATCTTAGTAACCATGATGTCCTTTGGCAATGCATTCCTCTTCATCTATGTGCTCTGTTTAAAAAGTAGCTCCTTATATGTATTTTAAATCCACCATCTCGTGGCTTCCCTGGGTGGACTAGGGAGCTCTTTTTCCCGAGGAAAAAAATACTAGTCTTTATTCACCTCTTTGCTGTTCTTAAATTTATAAACCCTCCACTGTACCCCTGTTCTCACACTTATCTCACTCTGCTCTGTGAAGCTGTGCTTTGTTCAGTGGTTCACCATAGGAAAACTGTTGTCTACTTCTGATTATCATTTTAGCTGTCCCTCTACTTTCTAGAATTCTATTATATCCTTTTTAAGACCAAGTAAGTGGGACTGCACAAAGTACTCAAGAGCAGAGGCTGGTTTATACCTTTTCATTTCAGGTGTTACTGTAGATATTTATCCCCACTAACCAGAAGGGAGAGTTCAGCCTTTTTTTTTTATAAAGGTATAATTTTTCTGGAAACTTCTATGAAAGTTTTATAACCCTGAAAGGGAACAGAAAGGATTGCTCAGTGCACTTGAGGGTCATAAAAAGGAAAGTCAGACGACAACATGAAATACTTTACAAAAGTATTAGCTTTTGTGATACATCATTTGTATGATCACTGTAGTCGTGTGCTCCTCATTTAAAGGTTAGTTTTATACACTCCATCACCAGTTATGCCACCCATCAGTAGTGGGAAATGTCATCACCACAACTGTGGTGTGGATCACAGTAGATACAAGCATACTGCATCATCCATGTGATGGCTTCCTTTACATTCGTACTAAACCCACTGTGTGTGAATAATAAAGATAGTGGTGTGCCTCTAAAGAGAGAGGAAAACCAGCTTAGGCATATCATAAAAGTTTTAGTTAGAAATTTTTATTTAATTCTGTGAAGATCAAGTGGAGCAAGAAGATGAACCTTTCATCTGAAGAGAGAATGATTTGAGCTTGGCACCTGCTTTTGTGGACTAGCTGTTGCCCTGTATTTTTCTGTTATTTGCAGAGCAAATATTTCACTTTGATTTGTTTCATTTCTCTCTTGATAGACCCCAATATTCTCAGCTATTCCAGATAGTGAAGTAGAAGTTGGTTTTGAAAAGGTGGTAAACCTAACGTCATACCTAAGGTTCAAAATTCTGTGTCAAGCCAACATACTGTTCCTTCCTTTCCTCCTCACCGCGTAGTGTTGTTGCGTAAATTCTTTGAATGTCAGTGCTGGGCAAGTTTATCTTGGGATATTTTTTGCATAACAGTTAATTAATTTGTCAGCTTTGGATGGAAAGTTCTGTATAAGTTTTCATTGCTATTTATTAAAAATCAGTTTTCTGAAAAATTTCAGGACGGATATTGGAGTCTAGTAATAGTGATTGCATTTTTTAAAAGGATTAAATTACTCATCTCATGCTATAAGTGATACTAATCACACTGCAGAGATGGAGATAGTGGGCTTGCCTACAAAAACAGGCTTTGTGAGGTAATAAATTTTGATAATTCTTGCAATAATGACGAATGTGAGTTCAATTCTATTAAAAAAAAAAAAAATCCCAACATTTTATGGCAAACTCCTGTGGGCAGAAAATGGCCACATTTCACAGAAGGAACTTTGTTTTAAAACATTGGCCCAGGTTTAGTATCCTAGTGATGATGTACTTACAGGACTGCTGCTGTGACCCTGGTTGAAATGGTGTTTCTGGAACTTGAGCAGCAAGCAAACATCTCCCCTTTCTTTTGCAGCCTTTGGAGCCTTCTGCTGCTCTGGGCATGGGAGCACATCCCATTGCCAGCGAAGAGAAGTCAGCCACCAACCTGGCAGCCAAACTCTTCGTTCTTGATGAGCTGGTGTCTCTGGAGAATGAGGTGACTGAGACCAAGAAGAAAAGAAGTTTCCCAGGATTTGGCTCCCCGATCGACAGGATTTCTTCGACCTCTGTGAATCCTAAAGGCAAACAGAGGTAAATTCTTAGATGCTCCTATTGGTGATAAAGTTGGAAGAAGGCTGTTGGTAGGTGTCCTGGGTACAGATGGGTTAGCCTTAGCCACCACCAGATTTACTGGTCAGTTGTGGGGTGTTCCCTCCTGATCAGGGTACCAGAATCTCTACAGAACCCATTCTGGTTGCGTGGTGTGTAATCCTTCAGCTGTGATGAATAATACGCACGCTAGTTCATTTATCCCCACAGTGCCATACAGTTAACGAAGAACATTCAAGCGCGTGCATTTTTTTTAGTACGGTTCTTTCCACTGATGTGAACTAACATTCAGTTTAAAACTGCCTTTTTGATGACGAGATTATTCAAAGCAAAAATATGCCTGAGGTTCAAAAGCAGAGGGGCAGGACTAGGTGTTCCTGAGGCTGGGGTGAAGAGAAGCTATGGTGGTGTGCACGCCGTGAATAGCAAGATGAAGAACACATTGTGAAAACGGGCAGACAGTTAATTAGAATGGGCTTCAAGACCTCGATCAACTTACGGTAAGAGAGGGTTTAATCAATACAGCAGTACAGCAATACCTTCACAACACACAGAAGATAAGCGTGTTTATAACAGGGCTAAGCAATGATTCTTCATATAGCTGGGGAGAGCCAGTGAGTTTGGGGCAAAGCTCAAGGGGCTGTTCGCTATATCTGAATGAGCCTAACTGTCTTGTTCCCTTCTGCTGGTAACTGTCATCTTTTGGATGGAATCCCCAATGCCACAAAGTATTTAATAACATGCTTAAAGCTTAATCTGGAAGTGGAAAGTATTCACAAGAGCCAGTCAACGTTACAAATATTTTTTTTTTCAAACAGAGTTTTGCAATATTTTCTTGTTGTTTTTCCATTTATCCACCCAGTCTGCTACTAAGACTTTTTGACTGCAGCCAAAAGTGATAAAAAACTAAATTCTTAAAACCTTGAGCGGAACTACTCTGTCCTGTATATCTCTTCAAGAGATCACAATCAGCTCATTCCTTGTTTGCTTTTTAGCATGTTTTCCCTTTCCAGGGGAGGAAATATTAAACCTATAAGCTTTTTGAAGCTGCAGTGACTTTTTTGAAAAAGTACGTGGTATTCCCAACTTGTCTCATGTTTTTTGGGTGGAAATCTTGTTTTGTTCTGTGTGCAGTATGGGGACACACACACACACAAAGGGAAATTGTGGTGAAAATTGTCCAAGTTTTCTAACAGCTTGTCTGTTAATAATGTGTTCATGCAAATGAGTGACACCACACAAAATTCCTCCTTTTTCAGCATCATCAGCACAGTTTGCAGTTTTGCCTTGAGATTATCGCTTTGGGGTAACTAATTGGCTTTTGAGCTTGGGATTGACTCGTTTATTAGAACCATCTGGGCTGCCTTGATCACTGCATTGACAGTCAGATACTACCATCAGCACGGACCGCAGATCATGAGTGCTACCAAACAGTTGAAAGTCTGTACATTCAGATGGAAACAGGCAGAGCTGCTGCACTTGGAGTAAAATAGAGGACTGTCATGCACACAGCAGACAACAGTCCATTCCCACACCAGCTAAGATGGTTACCTTTAGAGACCAGATACTGACTTTTGAAGTGTGAAAGCTGTGACATAGCTTCAGCCCTCTGAATTAGTACAGTGTGTGTAGTGCCTGGTAACAGAGCAGAAACTTTGGGAAAAGAGCAGTTCACTTGACTTGATAAACGCACTTAACAAATTATTGTGGCACCCACCAGTTACAGGAGGGCCCAGGTCCTAATCTTGCTCATCAAAATCAATTTATAAAGCTTTGAAAGCATGGGAAAAGCATGCAAGAAGGCATGAGTCTTCAGAAGATGTAGAAATATCCCTGGGCAGCCAGAGAGAAAGAGACTCCGGGAATCTTAGAAAAGGCTATTTTAAATGGCGAACGTCACTTTGTCCCTAATAAATCTGGTTTGGAAGATGGAAGCGGTGTGGGAGGCTGGGGAGGGAGCGGTGGCTGCCCTGCTGTGGCTCGGGATGGCCACAAGAGGGGAGGCTCAGCCGCGCTGCCCGCGCTGCCCGCGCTGCCCGGCCTTTCCCCGGGCATGAGGTTACGATTTCCCTCTCTGTTTAGCCGCAGAGCATGGCGGTGTTACAACTAACGATGCGGAATCACCCCCACACCCCATAATCCAGTCTGGGAAATTAATTCCCCTTTTTATCAAGCCAGGCTCAGTACGACCCCAGCTGCCCAAGCCTCCCACCTGCCCGCCCAGCATGTGCTGGGGTCAGTGCTGCCCGTGAGGCACCAGGCTGAGGCTCAGCCCTTGGCTTTCTTTTCTGTGGCTTAGTGCAACGGTGCTGGATACGTAGGTGCCTGAGGAAGGGGCGGTGAGGGCTATGCAAACGGCTTCCCTTCATTTGCGACGTTCTGTAGCCGCTCCAGCTCGTGCGGAGCTCCCTGCGCATGCGCTACGCTGTCAATTCCCATGTCTTGACCTCATCTGAAAAGTAGTTGGAAAAGAGCCAGTGTGAAATGGGCTGCTGAGAATGATGCCTCTGGGCTTCAGCCCGTGCCTGAGGGGTGTGAGGAAAGGAGGCTGCTCAGGTGAGACCATGGGCTAGACGGGTTGACCTGGGCGGGGTGTGCAGAGCCCCCAAAGCCACAGGCTGAGTGAGCATGGCAGTGCTAGTATGTAGAGTTAGACCCAAGTGCACCATAGCATGCTCTCCTGCTAGTTACTTTGCATTTGCCAACTTACAGAACAAAGTTTCTTTTTATTTATGTTCCTTGACAAGGACAGATAGAGAAAAGTGTTCATCTTCCAGGGTTTCTCTTGGACCTGCATTTCACTGGCAAGTATTCCAAGGGCGAAAGTTGAGGTTATTCTCAGCTGCAGAAAATCTCATCATTTCCACAATTAATTAAAATAAAACTTCTGCTGGTGGAAAAAGTGCTCAAAATGATGAATTAAAATGGGAAAACTTTTTTATATAATAAAGAAATTGTAATAAAATATTCCTGCATAGAACTTCTTTCACATTTTCCTCATGCCCTCATTCATCAAATCATTGTGAAATGTATCACGTGAAGGAAAAAAACAACCCCAAAACCCTCCCATTTTTAATCTCGTCAAAGGGTTGCTACTATACAATTTTGAGAACAGTGCATTGCAGGAGACCCTATAGGAAAATCCTGCTAGGGCTCCTCTGAGTTGTCCCCTCTGTTGCTCTGCAATACTTTCTAACTCCTTGCTTTGCTTAGCTCCAGTTGGCCCTGGAGATTTCAAAGATTCAGGTTAATGGTTCACCTGAAGTATGGAATACTATGCATGAAACAATTCCCCCTTACACATGCAGTGTACCTCTTTTATGACTAGCAGTTAACCTGTGTAGTTGTTTGTTTGCTGCCATATAAAAACAGAGATAGTAGAGAAACATCAGCCAGTCTGTAAAACAGGTGCAAATCCTGTCTAGTCTTTTGTAAGACAAGTGAAGCATCTTGGTTTTAAATACTCACATCTCTGGCTGCTCCTGCACAGCTGTTCTGTCTGAAAATAAGTTCTTAGTGGGATGAATGGAGGAATTGAAGATATAGCAACATTTTGATTATTCCTATGATGTCTTTCCCCAATTCTTTCCCTCTTCCTTTGCTTTTTTCCCTGTGCAGGAAAGTGGTTGAGCTGCCTAAGAGACGGTTTGGAGTTCCTCTTGACCGGATTGGAGTGAGCCGTCTCGGCAACACTAAGGGTTAGCAAAACACTCCGGGTGTGGGCAGGCTGGGAGAACCCCCCCGTTCTCAGTTACATGGAGGT